CAGATGGAGACTTGTTTTACCCATAGGAAATAAGAGACTGCTTATCAGGCAGAGAGGGAAATTCTAGCAAAATGAACAGTTTACACAGGGGTGGGTATCGGCTTCTTAAGATGCAGGGATGACTAAATGTATCCACACTAATCTAGCACCAAGCATTAGACAATACTTGATAAAATATCAGAAGCAACTTCCTCATCAATTCCATCTCAGTGCTAATAAACTAAAGGAAGAAATCTTCCCATGTTTCTCGAATGTAGTTTTCCTCTCTGTAACGCTTGCCAGTCTCCTTTTCATCAGAGAACAGGCATTGTGTTCTGAGCTTTCAGCAGATAATGGTATCTTGGTAGAACTAGATAATGTTTTATTTTGCTTCTATTTATTTTTATAATTGATTTTAACTATGGAGTGCAGTTTTCTATTCATAGTACCCATACCATACAAAGTTTTATTTGAAATGACTTTATTTTAGTTAAGATGCAGTCCATCAAAAACAATATGCAAATAATAATACAAGAGGTACATGGCAATAATATGAAGTTGGTATGCCAATGACTGGGGTTTGATCACATCGATGTGGTATACTTCCGGAATAGAAACTCACAAGGTTGGAATGAACAATGACGGTGGGAGACAAGCTAGAGCCATCTCATACAATCAGACTGTGAGGGGCCTCTTAGGTCAGGCTGAGGCATTTAGCCCATGGGGAACCATGGTTTAGCCAGCAGTCTAGCCTGCTAAGAAGTTACAGTTAGGAGTCATCACTAGAATGTGAAGGATGGCCCATAGGAGCAGATGAAGCAGGTCAGTCGGGATGCTGGTGGCCCTGTGGCAGAGGATGAGAGCAAGAAATGAAGGACGAAGCAAGGTTATAGAGGAGGAAATGGAATGATCTGACAGTCACCTGTCACTCAGGTGATGTGAAAGGAGACATGTAGAATAGTGTTCTAGTGTGGCTTGGTCTGCGGATGTCAGATGCTTCTACAAGATGGGGAGCTATTTCCCAACAGTAGTTGCTTCTTTGATAATTGATGTGGTTTTAACCTGAGCGAAACCCTGCATCTCCGTTTTAACACATTCACAGGAAGAAAGTGATTTCCTTACTCCTAATTCATGCCCATACATCCAAGTCCTCGAAGAATGAGCTCCCAAATGAGTGTTGGAGCTAGTGTCTTTTCATGTTGTGAGAAGTCTCTGTGGCCAAGTAACAAAAACGCTGTGCCACCACCAGCCCTAACACTTTTCCAAGAGCCTACCAAGGTCATCTTAGTTCAAGAACATTACTTTAAATTCTCTTTAAATTCAATCATTTCTAGGTTTTTGATCAAGGTATGAAGGTTGTATAGTTTTATGACTTTAGAGTTTTTAATGGACACATAATATTCACATGTCGTTATGAGAGACTGTGGGAGTTTTGATATGTGTGTACGATCTGCAATGATTGCGCAAGATAAGTAGCTTGTGTTTTGCAATTGGTGAAGGGAGACGCTGGGCAGAATAAAGAGGGGAGGCTGGAGGCTGTGCAAGTACTCCTGTGTGAATGCAACAGGCCTTCTAGCCAGAAGGGCGTGGTTAATGGAGATACAATGTGTGCAGCACCCTCCTCCTCATTCGCCCTGGGAGAAATTGCTTAGGACCTATGGGTTTGGGTACCTTACAGCTACAGATGAATATCCCAAAGGAAGTCTCTTCCTAGAAAGGGATACAAAGCTCACTTAAGGCTCCACTCTTAAGGGATCACAGGAATCTGGATGACCACAGTAGTGAGGATTTCCAGGAGCCTGGCAGAGATCTAGTAACCTTCCAAGAGCCTCACTTTAGAAGGAAAGTCAGTGATGACCAATGCCTACTTAATTCATGATGTTAATGATCAGAGGCAAAAGTGTCTACTTAAAAGACTATATTTTTAAAAAAGAGGAAATATTCCTTTGCATTGTTTTTGTGATAGACTAGAACTTACAGTTGTTCTCAATAAAAAGTGATTCATTTAAAGGGAAGATTATTCATGAACAATTATATCAGACTCCATTGCTATTAACAATGCCTATTTGCAAGCGTGATGGTTAATATCATGAGCCTAAGTCACATCCTCTTGCAGGATCAAGTTTTAAAAGACTAAAAGACTAAATTCTAATAGCTTAAGCCTATGAATTATCAATTGCATCATATAGATGAGAAAAGATTCTCATTTTATGCATGGAGTAAAGAGTAAGACAAAACTTGAAGAATTATTGGATAGATAATGAGCATCCATAAAGATATGTGATTTTTTTTTTATTAATCTGAGACTTCCCTAGTCTTATCACCCGGGAGGCCTTGGCTGGGATTATACTTTTTCAAAGAAATAGACTTACATGTGAACATTATGCATAAAATTAAGGCATCTAGAGTTCAGATGGTCTGCAGGGTTAAGTGAGGTTTTTGATTGTCCCATTAGAAATTTACAATGGCGTGTGAAGGTGGCCTTATGAAAACAATACAATGAGTCGTGTTTCATTAATTTCCTGTGAACTTAAACTGAGATTGCCACAAGCCATTAAAAGACTAATGAATAGACATGGAATGGCATGGGCCCTCAAGAGCCAACTACTCACAATACGCAAAGATCTTAGCTTCTACAACCGCCACTTTAAATGCTATTTGGTGATAATGCTTCTCAACATATATTTGTTGCTGAAAAGGCATTTACTTGCTGACATGGGGTTGGTGAAATGGTTTTTCTGATCAGCTTGTGCAATGCAGTATACTTTATTTGAACTGAGAAACTGAGATCTCCAAACTTAAGAATCTGTTGGAGCAACAAATCTGAATAATCACTACATACTAGACATTTTCTAGTTTCTTACAATGACTCCTGTTTAAACCTCACAGAACCATAGTCTTTATAGCTAAGGAACGTGGGAGGAGGAAGCTGCCCAAGTCCACAAAATTTCAGCGTTAGGGCTTTTTCTGACCAAAAAAGCCCTCCTTTGGACTAGTATTTGCCACCTAGCTATCAACATTGTGAATTCACTCCCACGGCTATACTTGGCATTTTCTTAGAAAGCTGAGGTTAGGGAAGATGTATAGAGTTGCTACATTAAGCACATTGGGTTCCAGGGTATCTGCAAACCAAAAGTAGGAAGATTTGTTTCTCAGAAATGAAAGCTGATTGAAATATAACTCATATTATGTCAAGAGATATGGAAATAAAAAAGCTCATTTTGCTTAGGCTAGTGCCAGGGAAGGAACTGAGAGAAAAAAGGTATCTACAACATCTCTGCAACTCAGAAGACAGACTGCTCTGAGAGTGAGCTTTAACTTTCTGGGCTTACATTTTCATCATTTTTTTCTATAATGAAGCAAATAAAAAAGATACAGGGTATTTTAAGTCATAAACAGTGTAAAATATTAACATTTAATAATTTGATTCTTTATGAGTAAATTTATACATAAGACATTAAAGATATTCAATTCGTCAGCTTTGCTGGAACATAGGCTGGTGAGAAGCGATATCTTTTCCTCCTTAAATTTTTGTTCAAGTAAGTTCATTTGAAAGAGGACATTTAGAAGATTGTTGGGTTGAACCATCTTTACATTCTCTGTTTCTTATTTTTATTGTAAAAAGCCACCAATCATATTTTACAGTAACGAAACACTTTTTTTGTGGTAAGTGAGGCTTTTAAGTTCAACCAGTTAAGAACCAATACTAACCAATAGAGAGGTACAAGAGTTGCAGAATGAGGGTGTCAGTAAGGCCTATAGATATATAAAGAGCATGCACTGCCCTATCTAACAACTATTTTCTAGGTTACACGATACAGCATCCTAAACCAACATAGAGGTTTTCCCTTCATAATTATGAAGCTCGCATCTGATAACAGATTAATCTTTTGGAGTAAAAGTTTCCATAAATTGTTTCTTTAATTGATTATCAGTTTTGAGAGGAGAATTCAGAGAGAGAGAGAGAGAGAGAGAGAACACAACATGCTAAGATAACAGAAACTCCTACTCTTTCCAGTATCTCTACTGTTAGATTTCAGCCCAGCTTGACTGATGTTGACCTTAAGCCCTTTGATGACTCACCATTGGAGCAGAGAAGAGAAATTTCTGCAGATTTCTTGGAAAAACAGATGTCTTCCTAGTTTGCAGAATTGGCCTAGATTTGTCCCTCAAGAGTCAAACACAACTGGAGAATAATAGAAACTATCTAGACTCTAATTTGAATGGAATTGAGTTTTCATGTTTCTACACAACCTTCCTTTGCAGCCTCTTCTACCTGAAATGGCATGACCCCTTAGGTACACACGTCTATCTTAAGTTACTGATATTGTCACGAACAGCTTTTAGTTTGATCATGGGGTTGGAAAATTTACAGCATAAGCTGAGGAAAGGGTCCCAGACTCTAACTTTAAAATATTCTTTCGTCTTTTGATTTGATGCCTGGCTTGAAAGCTGAATGACTAGCGGATAGGTAGATTCACTTTGTGGCTTCAGAACATTTGGTTTCCTGGACAACCAGACACTTGGGAATGGTGTTAGTGGTGCTCTTTTGAGTGAACAGGAAATGTGTCTCTGCATGGAGGTAAACTTGGATGGGAAATCTCAGGTTATGCTCAAGCTCCAACGCAGACAGATTTATTATACATCCTTTAAATGTTCTCTATCTATCTGAGATAATGAGTAGAATGGTTGAAATATATAAAAATTACACACAAAATATCTATTTGTTAAAATATGGCTTCATAAGGTTAATCTTAATAAAAAAGCACTATTTCCATTCTACAATGAGTCCTAGAATGTGAGGAATATTTCGTGCATAGGCCCCTCCCTGAGCAGTACTTTGGACATCAGTTTGTTTTATTGATAGAACAAGGAGAGTAAAGTCATTGCTCCTTAGCCTTCTTATAAAATGGTGCACACGATGGGAAGTAAATTTAAAGACATTATAGGGAAGATTAGCATAGATGTTTTTGAGGCTACTGTGGCCATTGAACCATTGAATCATAATAGGTTTTGCTCTCCTTTATGTTTGCATAGGATTGTCACATAAAGTCATTGCCCTTAATGAGAATAAGTTTCATGACGTCACTGCAGCACATATCGACAAGCAGGATCCAGAAAGGTATGCAATGTTTCCCTCTGATATCTTTGTAAATGGATGTTTGGTGGCTATGGAATGGAGCATCCTATTGCTTGACTATGTGTCTCCTACAGCAAGGAATGAAGTGTGAAACAGAGTTGGGAGGCAGGTGACTCAAGGACGGGCAATGCAGCAAAATCAACAGAGACAGGATGGTCATGGGGTCCACGAAGCACAGTCCTAGGTAGCACAGCTGTCATGGCTAGATGCTAAGTCTGCTCTAACAGACTGCAATGTTTGTCTGCTGAGCAACACGCTCATGTCTCCATAGAGTTAGCATTTTTATTGCAGTATGACTTTCTTGGGAAGTGAACAAACCTTTAAATAAATCACAATTACTTATTGCTTAGTATTTGAGATAATAAATTCTTTAGTTTATCAGTACCTCATGGCCTTCAAATGTGCGTTCTTCAAATAGTTTCAGTTACATATATATTCTTTCTCCTGAACAATAAATTATTCTTTAAAAATGAAAAAGAAAAAGTACATAATTTTAAAGCAAAGAAAAAAAACATATATTTTAAACATTTATCTTAAACTTATATGAAAACAATTCTCTATGTTAGATGCTTAAATATAAATAATAAAGGACATTATGTTATTTACAATGTTATACAGTATGAGAGTAAAACCTAACATTAACTCATAGAGACAGTATATGACTTAAGAAAACATCCAAGTACTATACAATATGTATTTACAAAAGAATATATAATAGAAATTGTGATTTGTGGCCATTCCATGTTGTCTGCATGTCTCCATAGTGTGTCATGGATCTTAGTGGACAGAAATTTCTGTAGCTGCTGGAAGGCAGCCAGGACTAAAAGGGAAGGTCAGATCTTCCTTATTCACTGATAGGAGCCATCTACCTTCAATCTCCAGCCAGAAGAGGAATCGATACAGAGAAAGTTACCCTGGATAGACTCCATCTATATGGACAGTCACACAGAAACAAGATAGAGATGGCATATTGCTGCTCTGGATACATTCTCTCTTAAACAGAGGCCTGCTTTGTAGAAAGCTGCAGAAGGCTGTCCACTAGGCACTCTTGAGAGCAGGGGGAAAAACGGAGGAAAAGGCAGGACAAAAAACACATCTTGAGTAAGTACAAAAGGAATTTGGTGTCTACTATACCCTGCTATATACCTCTCAGTGGTTTGGAGTTCAGGCCCAAGAAATCAATTTTCTGTTAAATTCTGAGTCGTTTGTACTCCCTTAAAATGCAAGGCATCTTCACGCATACTAGGAACACAGGCGTGCATTCCTTTGCATTGCTACGGTTCTGCCTGGGTTCATAAACAGGATGGTTGAGAGAGACCTGGCAGTGAAGCATTGTAGAGACATCCCTAGAAACATAAAAGCTAGGGGCTGCCACAGGTAGCCCTGAGCGGCCAAGTGGCTGCTCTCACCAAGGAAGCTTTGCTCTCTTGGGGAAAAGGCTTTCCAACTAATAAGACAAATGTGTTTGCCAGGTAAAGCACAGAAGAAAAAAAAAAAGATCACGTATACTTGCAATTTGCAAATTTGTAGAGCTTCTTGTGCTAGTAAAATGCTGTTCCTTGTTTTCATCGGGAGAATCTATCTTTTTAAAAGGGCCTTTCTCAATACCCTAGTGACCAACCAATTGGGAACTGAATTTCTAAGACTTTTAAAAGAACAATAAAGAAATTTCTTTATCAAATGATCAATGAGTGAAGGCCTTCAAAGTCAACGTTAAGTAGAGAGACTATCTTCAAGCCTACTGACTTGTCCTCCCTGTGGAGAGTTGACCACCTGCAGCACTGAGAAGTCAGTGCAGGCTTTTTCCAGCAGGCATTCCTCTGTCTGGGCTAACAAAGAAAAAATGACAACACTGAGCACAGAGAAGCTGTCATGTGAACAATGGCAGGAAATGAGAGACATCAAATTCTAAGAGTAACAGACAAGTTTCTCTTCAAAACATGGAGGAGTGTAACACATGGATTTGTGGTCAGCCTGCAGTGTTCTTCTGAGCCCTACTTGTGTATGATTAGTTCCCTTGACTTGTAACAAAGATCTGGTAAAGAAAATAGATTCAGTTCAACTGGGAACTAGGATCAATAATTGTCTTTGACTTTGTCAATCCCCTGTTCAACTATTTCCCATTTTCCCATATGTGGCTCCTAGGAACTTACTTAGAAACCCAATGAGCACCAGTTCAGACTGACAGATAATAGGGAGGTAATATAAAAGGTTCTGAATGATTGATTATTCTCCACCTCCCCACCTTTTTTCCTGTATTAACATTTGTTCATATGCTAATATCTCTAAGCATTCATTGGCTTTACAATCATAAGAGTACATAACGAGTTAAAACCAATCCTAGCCCTGCTTTTGAGACAGTATGAGAAAAAAAAACTTATAGAGGACAAATGGGAGATACAGGCTATCTATGGAGAGAGATCATCAATCCACAGGTGAGGGTCGCTTCTCCAAGAAAAGGTGCAATCTTTCCAACACTATTGACATTCCCTAGTGAGGCATCACTGTGGAAAGTTCTTGCTAATCACAAATCACATGCACATTGGCCATTCCTGGCAAAACATATTCATGCATAGTTATGACTTAATCAAGACTATGTTGAACATGAGAGACACATGATGGGGAGAAAGGAGTGGCCAACCAAACTTTAAGATGTCAACTGGGTCACACAGCGGCTTTCCCCTTGTGACTTCTACACATTCACTCCTTCTAAACACTCTACAAGTGGGGCATTTCCCTGCAATGGCCAAGTCACCGAGATGTACCGCTGGCACATTGCTCCCTACAAATGGTTTGGACAGGATGGCTGAGTGTACTCTGGGGGCTGAGGCTTCATGATATGATGCACCCCTTCTGGAGCCAAGAAGAGGGTTCAACCAGTCAGTTAAAAAAATATGTCAGAAAGGATTGCACCTTTAGTAGCCATGGTTGGTTGGTCAACAGATGAGCTGCTGGATCATTCCCCCTCCACCCAGAGAGAAAGTGAAACTGAGTCCTTTTAAGTTGCTAGATTTATCCTGATAGCAAGCCAGAACCTGCTTTCTAAGCTGGACTTGAAGCTGTTCTTCTTTGTCAAGAACAACAACAACCAAAATGTTAAAATTAAAGTCAATGGTAGCTCCTTTGAGCAAGAACAAGCTGTCTTCTGATTAATAATATAGTTTGTTTTTAAAAATCACAGTATTACTTTCTTCCTAATATTTAACATTACTTAATGCAGTTTCCTGCTATATGTAATAGTAGCATGCTGTTGGGTCTACTATTATCTCAGAGCCCAGTGAAGCAAACCTTTGGCTGACAGAGTAGAGAGAACTCATTTCATATTTGGAAAGCAAAGACTTCATACAAAATAGAAGAGTATTTGGGCGGATGTGCCATTTCAAGACAGTACCGGTTGGGAGCTACTGGAAGCAAACAGAGGGACAGCTGCTAGCCTTGCAAATCATACATCCAGTCAACATCATAATGCTATGCACAAGAAGCCAGCAGCAACTGAATATATGGGAGGTTTGGTTGAAATACTGAGAAAAAGCAACCACCGTAACTGTATAAAACTTGCTCTCGACATAACATAACATAAAGGCACCATTGATATCTTTCTCGTTTTTTGAAATACTGTAAAAAATTGCTACATATGGCACATAACACATTTTTACATACATATATTTAATTTATAAAAGTTTTTTTCCTGTTTTCTATTTGCAGAACTGCTAAAATAAAATAAATTGTTTAATTTAAGGTGAAATACTTTATTATATAAAATAAAGTTTTACAGGTGAATCTATGTGTTTATTTAGGTTTATACAGCGATAGGGTCTTGGTTAGCGATTACACTAGACAGCCTGGCCTGTAATTCTTCCTGCGTGGAGAAGCGGCCTGCTGGGTTAGTCCTGCTATCAGCCAGACGGAAGGCAGGGGCCGCCTCAAGACTGGCTGCCAGGGGGTTCTGTATGCCCAGGAATGGTGTATCTTCACCTATTCTTTCATCTTCTGTTTCACTTTCTGAGTTACTGCTCACAGAACTTGTGTTGTTGCCCATTTCCAACCGATTGGCAATGTGGCCATTGGGCTTGGTTCTTTTGGCCCGCCGGCTGTTGGTGAGTTTCTTAACAGGCTCTTGAACTGGCTCATACTCCTGGGTTGTCTCGTATTCCTCATCCTCCACTATCCTCAGTGGGCTAGGGGGGAGACTGGTACTCTGATGGGCAGGGTTGTGATGAAAGGAGTTGAGTTGCTGGGGGTGACGATCACACTTCTTCTCCCGGAGCCTTGGCGGTGTCACGAGAAGCAGAGGTCTCTCTTCTTCCACAAAGGGGCTGACTGCCATGGAGGGCATGGACACCGTCAAGCTGGACACGGGTGGAGACATTTCCGAAGGGGGTGATTTAGGGGAGCTTGGCGTGTGGAAATCTACAGGTGACATACGAGCCGGGGTGGTCATGGCTGATACATACCTGTGTGAGCACAGAATATCCCACATGAGCGTAGTGGAAATAAGAAGCATGGAGCAGGGAAGGGCGGGGGACAGAGTTCATCATGGGCTATAGTCAGAGAACAGTCATCATCGAATACTTAAGTTTTACACTAGAAGTTCGGCACCCTTGGATCCTATCATTATAAACCCAAGAGTTTCCTTACAGGAATCATGCAAAGATCAGCTCATTAAAGCTTTCGAGAGTTTAGTCTCATCATGAATTCAAATAAAGGTACGTGAGCCAAGAAAAGAAGGCTCCCAAGAACCTCTCAGCTTCAAAAGACCAAGGCTTGGGGGACTTAGAAGGGAAAGAAGTATTCTTAAATACTATACCTTCCTAAAGGCCAAGGGGTCTTAGAGAATGAAGCCCAAATGGGGAATGGAAGAGGATCTAAGATGAGTTGCTGACAGCTGGATCTGCATGCATTTGGATCTGTAAGCCTTGTTTCTCCTTAGCTCAGCTATAAGGTTATGTCTTATGAAAAAAAAAGAGCATAGTAACTTAAAGATTTATTCCTGATAACAGCGTAGTACATTTGTGTGCCATTCAGTTGAAATTTGCATGAAATGCTACTTAGTTCACATTCAGATTTGCAACTCTCCATTTCAGGGTGCAATACATTCAAGGCAAGGCTGATTGGAACCATAATTTGGTTTCATATTCCCACAGTGGCCAATCTCCCATCTATTGCTCTTCCAAATCCCACCATTGCATCAGCCTTTGGTTTCCTTCTGAGAACACTTGTCAAAGAAACCCCTAAGTGCCTAGCAAGCATTTGTGTAAACACAAGAGTTGGGTATACCATGTATATCTTATGCCATGTTATGTTTGTGAAGGTCACCATTTCAGTCCAGATACTGTGTTTTGCAGCGCTGTGCCATCTCAAGGCCTGCCCTTTTGGGCTGTGTCTGAGTCATTTTCCTCGGCTTTTGATGACAATGCTACTAGCACACAACAACACAGTCTAATTCGATGTGACCTGTGATGACACAGGAGACTGGAGCTCTCTGAACTCCAGCTAATGGAAAAGAAGACTATTAACGCTCCCACTTGTCCATGATTCATGGCGATAAATAAGCTGTGTTTAAAACTAGAAAAAAGTGTCTCAGAATTTGAAACATTTGGAGCCCAAGTGTGCAGAAATTTTTTTGAGGGTACTTAAATTAGACCCTCTGAGAAATGCTTGTCGCAGCTCAGACAACACATACGAGTGACTGATCTTTTTGTCCCCCATGATCTTTCACTTCAAGACAGTTCCACAATTCTAGGTAGTATCTGGGTGATGCCTGGATGCCTACTTTACCAGACAGAACCTCCAAAGATAAGCCAGGGCAATGAAGAGAACCTTCACCCTACTCCCTGTGCGTGTTCCAAGAAGGCTTAACAGGAATGGAGAGACTTCTATATGCAAAAATATAATTATAGAAGATAAATGCTCTAAGCCAGTTTTTGACCACACTCCTCTACAGATGTGTTATACAGAGAATACTAACTCTATAAATTATATCATTTCTGATACTGCTTTAGGTAGTTAATAGGTTCTTTGACCTGAAAGTTCCCAATGTGTGGTTCACTGTACTTTCAGGTCCTTACATGAAAAATTCTTTGAAACCATCTCTACCCATGTCACTGAAAAATACAAATGTATTTGGCATTATAATGACCTTTTAGTCAATGGGAAAAGACCAGACTGTGATAACAAGAAAATAAACCAATTAGACTGGAAAATCAGCAAGTAACAGCTTGCAGATGGGCTAAAATGTCAGTTAGCCATGACTTTCTTCTCGCATAGGTGAAAATGGATAAGGAGAACATCCAAGTTCAACATCCCTACTTAGTACCTCCTCCATTTATTTTTTTCCATTCTTTAGTTTGCCTTTGTTATTACTTCTCCAACCCAAACTACATCTCCCACTGAAGGAAAGGCAAACATTCTTGAATAAAGAGTAATATCAGAGGCGATATGTGCTTTGGAAATCACCTATAATAGCTGTCAGGCTAATCACACAAGACCTTTATTCATCCATCACTTCTTGGAATTTCATGAACGGGACACGATATGGCATACACACAAGGTGGTGTTCCCCCATAACCATTAGCAAAGACAATAGCCCTTGACTTGATCTAACTGAGGCCAGAGGTAGGGCAATTAGCATATGAGAACATAAGGCAAGATCAGCCATGGCGGTAGAATATGGACAACAGGACAATTGGAATTAGATGGGGGCACTTAAATGTTACACCTGAAGAAAGTACGACCCTGAGTGAGTCTGAGCCTAGGGTCAGGTCTGAGAACTCCACGTTGACTGTACGGTCCACACCCCACTACTCTCACTCTTTAAGAGTCTGCTGCCTTTCAGCCATTGGGATGATGGGAGAAGCTCAGGAGAAAGGAGCTCAGCCAAATAAAAGGATGACTTCACCAACTAGAAGCATCGGGCAACTGATGACACCCCTTCTATAAGGATGAATTTCCTTAGGTGAGACCGCAGGTACTCATGGGATTCTCCTACTGAGTGAGGTTCTCCTCCACGACAGCTTTGCCCTTCGGTTTTACCTTTCGCTATGAGGAGAGTCTCGGTACGAGTCAGGGGTTTCTCTGGCATGCCTGAGGAAGCTGTTACATTCGCGAGGGCCTCCCAGACCATGAAGACGTCCTCGTGGGCCCCCAGCTGGGCTGCTGTGCCTACTGTTTTCTACTGATGACATCATGATTACAGAGTGGCTTTCTGAAATGATGCTTTCTGTGTGCCCGTTACTCCAGCTGGGTAGAAGGGAAACATAAGAAGCAGTGAGACAGACTGGTTTAATTACATGTAAAAAAAAAAAAAGGCAAAGAACAAAAGTGATTCTGGTAAATATCGATACACCAGTAGCCCAGAATTGATACCAAGATTTCTTTGTTGTAAAGAGAATCTTGATTTGGGTTGGACTTGTAAACACAGTTTATTCATTTCTTTATCCATTCCATAAATATTTAGCAAATGCCACCACGTACTAAGTATTATTGCAGTTTCACTGTGCTTGGGTTGCTTGGGCTAAACAAAGGGATTGTTGTGTGCTTAACAGCTGGAATCCTGGTGCTGTGCCCCATGGAGTGGGTGCCGCCAGCACAAGACCACAGGACCATCAGAGAATTGAGCTGTCAGCTATGTAGTTATTTCCAGGGGCACTGCCAGGGCAGTCTAACCTTTAGAAACAAACCTCTAAGTATCGCACAGAATCTAGACAAATTTTTTTCCCCATACTGGGCAGCAATAGATGAGTACAAGACATGGCAATTTCTAGACTGAGGAGCAGCAAGCCTGCAAGGTAATAATTACTAAGCCCCTTTATTGTTTTTAATGGAAATATTAGGCCTAGACTTAACTTGGTAAGAGCAGTTTAGGCCCCAAATCTATAAATGCTCAAACTCAGTACATTTTCCTGCTTCTGTCTCTTTTGCCTTTTCTTAGGAATTTAAAATAAAGGGTAAGAAACAAAAGAAACCATTCTTAGGAAAATTTCTTCCCTTTGAGATTTTTTTTGCCCCCTCATACCTGTGACTAGGAGTCTGGGTGACAGTCGTGGAGTGATGAGTTGTGGAAGTGTAATGGCTGGTGGAAAAGGAGGTCTCGGCTTCCCTCTCAACAATATGCTCACTGGAGATGACGTTTTTAGACACGTATTGCTAGAAAAACAAAGAGACACAACTTGAAAATTAATGCAAGTGTAAACACAAATACACTAATCCAGGTACAAATCGGTTCTCATGTGTATACGTCACATAGATCTCAGCCAGCCAGATGGCAAATCCTTTTCTGGCCTCTCTGGCTTTGAGGTTAGATACATGGGGTCAATAAATTCCTTTCCAAATATTTGCACAAGAAATCTCAACTTCATTTCTCTCATTTCCAACTGATAACAGAAATATCACAAATATTCACTCAAGTATTATTTTTGTCCACATTTCTCCAGGTCAGGAAGACTGATAGATGAGGTAAACAAAAATGTAATATAGTCTGGCTTATTTCAATTCATGCCACTAGAAAGAGATGTGAATTTTAATATCTTAGATCTTCCTCTTTGAATTTCATAGGCCTATGCTAGCCCTACTGATATCACTGAAGATGTTAACTTGCTGAGTGATATTTGAGAGACTTATAATATTTTTAAGGTCTGAACAAATTGCATGCCCAGTGCTATATCTCTGGTGAATCTCTTTTATTTTCATCAGCAGAGCGCGGTAGCTGTTACTGCTGGCTAATAGTGACATGCAATGTTGGAAAAGTTTCTTGTAAGTTGTTGTAAGTGCTCTTTGTATTTCTAAAACTCTGAGTGAAATCAGGTAAACCACAAGGACCAAAAAGAGATATTTAATAAAAGGGGTACTTTAAAGTCTGCTGAGATTGTTTAGTCTGAAGAACCTGATATTCACGTGGGGGATTTCACAGGCTGGCTCTTTCTGTTTATAGAAACACTTTTCCTTCTGGAACTTCCTGGGGACAATTGTCCTAGGGACAACTGCTTATCATGAAGACTGCACCATGAGCTGCTACTATGTAGTGCCCATTCTACACTTGCCTTCTGGAGGCACTTTCCGCCTAGTGGAACTAATGAAAACACTATCTAGCAATTACTAAGTACTCACTAAGTGTGCTGGGTTAAGTGTTTCAGGCAGATTATTTTAGTAAAGTTGGTATTATTTTTAGCCCTGCTATAATGAAGAAATAAGGTTGAAATGGAGTTATTTGTGCTATAATTGCAATTCAAACAGTCACGGTCCTTTTGCTGTTATATATTATGTTATATATCAATCTATGTCAAATTATATATATTACATTATATATATTAAATATTACAGTTTTACTATTAGTGAGTGCATTTTTTGGCCTTGAAGAGCATTCTAATGAACCCCATCATTGGGAGGGAAACAAAAGTTTCCTATTGGCCTTGGTTCCAATATTTTCCCCAAACTCTGTGTTATGAGACTTGGGGGAAGTAACCACCAGCTTGTAGTAACCCCCAGCTCCAGACTTAAGTTTATGATCCATCTTCTCCACCTAAGATATACCTTCTCTTATAAGACAGAAAGCGATATTACAAATTTCAAGCTTTGTCTATTAAGAAAACCACTCATTCCAAGGGAGGAATGGGGGACTACAGATTCCAGGGAAGGAATGGGGGACTACACTTTCCAGGAAAGGAATGGGGGATTATATATTCCAGGGGGAGAATGGAAACTACATATTCCAAGGGAAGAATGGGGGACTACACGTTCCAGGGGAGGAATGGAGACTACACATTCCAGGGGGAGAATGGGAACTACACATTCCAGGGGGAGAATGGGGGACTACACATTTCAGGGGAGAATGGGGACTACACATTCCAGGGGGAAAATGGTGGACTACACATTCCAGGGGAGGAATGGGGGTTGGAACATGAATAACAATGCTTCAGAATTCAGGACATCTGGCAAGAACTCTGGTCCAGATCTCTTAATGTGGAAGACCTCAATGGGGATATGCAAATGGTCTCAAGGATCAGCCTAGAATCTAGTCACATTTAGAACTAAGTACATGGCACAAGGAAAACAAAATACCCAAATGATTAAGGATGTATTTCACCTGGAGGGCATGACATCACAAAGGTGGAGCCAGGGAATAAGTAAGTTCTACCTTCTCCTAGCTTTGCTCCTTAAAGAATACTTAAGAAATTTCCCCCCTTTTCATACCCCAATCTTCCTTTGGAATTCGGAATCAGAAAATCACATGTACCATGAAAGGCACCTCATAGAAATACTTCAAAGTCCTTTGCTTGGTTTGCTATAAACCAGTGGTATAATAGAGTAGCCTTCATTTCTAAATGATTAAAAATAAATATTCTTTATGACCCTGGTTTTATTATTTATTTTGTTTTTCCTTCTTTCTATGGCCTCTTTGCAGAACACACCAAGTATTACCCCGAAGTCTTAATGACGCTGTATAATAACTAAATCCATTTTCAAATAGCTTTCATTACTTTTTTCCTGGCAAAACTGTGGGTTTCTGGAAGTCATTGTGATAAGTGACAGCAGCTAATGGCCTAAGATTACAAAAACCAACTTCAGTGTGCCTGAATGGCAAATGAATGCTTGGCTTCCCCAGTGCTCAGTCAACATACATTCACCAGCTGCACGTTCTCTGGTGGTGGGTTTGGATGGTGAGGCCCATTGGCTATGTTCACCATGTTGTTCCGTTCAGATCGAAGGCTCTGCCTAAGCCGATCATGAAGCTTTTGCCGCTGTTTCCTGGATATGGAAAAAAAAGGAGCACGTTTGTTCCTATTACATTGTATTTCTGTTTGTTTTGCTACAGCCAAATCTTTAGTCTAACACTAATGAGCAGTTTGAGGCAGTCAGTTGGTGGTGATAAAGGGAGAAGAAAAGTATACATCACTCTATCTCAGAATGAGCAATATCTCACATTCTTAGAAAGCTGGTTTTAATAGTGAGATGGACTTCTCATAGAAATGTTATACATAGCTATTGTACTGAGGGAGAATAAAAAAGGAGGAAAAACAGAAATGTTGATATTTGGCTAAATTCTCAATGTTCTTGGTACATCTTTATTTACATTATATATTGGTCTTACATATTTTTAACTATGGAATTGATAAGACTGGTTTCATTCATAAATTTTTCTATGTGATTTATTAAGAAAATTAACTTAGCCTTCTTTTTTATTTGCACAGTGAGTTTGTGCGCGCACATCACCCACATGTAAGTGGAATTCTGGGTGTATTTGGTATTATATTTTGGTACAATTGCAACAAGACTTTAAAAGCACTTACAATGCTTTTTGTAGAAGAGGTGGTAAACATTCAAATTTGAATCTAATAATACCTATGATGCCAATCCCATAAGAGCTTATATTTATCAGTCAGTTCTTACAGCATTCTAACCATAGAATACTGTGTAAACACAATTCATGCTATAGCTTCTGTGGCTAAAATGCATGTGACCTCTGTTCTGTAATACAACATTCAGAACAAGATATTACTATGACTAGTTTGGGCCAGAAAATATTATGTCATCAGGCAAAACAGAAGCCACACTCTGAGTATTACATTTGGACTTGAAAAAATCCTCAGTGGAGAGAAAAGTTCAGGGATCTCACTGGTAGGCCAATGCATGCTAACAGGGACACCTGTAGAAGGCCAGGCATAGTGACTACATTATCGTTAAGGTTTTCTCTTTAACTTTCTTTCCAAGCAAATTTGGCTTGCCTATCCTTCCACAAAAACGTCTATATACACTGCCCATTTATAGAGCATTTATACCGGAAAATCATAGAATTAAAACATACTCATTTTAACTCTCAACACCGCCCCCCAAAAGAAACCAACAATGAAAAACTCCCAAACACCTTGAATCTTGAATACTATGAAATGCTTCCTTTATTTCTTAAGTTTCTGGACTTATCCTTATGAATCGCATTGGACTTATCCTCAATCTTCCGCATTTATGCTCTCCGTAGGTTTTGCCTGTGTGGAACTCTGACCCATAAGCCTGTTCCTCTAAGCCTTTGTCCATTCACAGAGCCCTGACCACTGAGAAATTTGCTTAGTTGCACACAAACAGGCAAAGGTGCATGCTTGGGGAGCATAAGGATGTTAAGTCCCTGTGCTCCTTTGCTCCCCAAGCCTTGAGCATGGTCCCTGGGACTGCAGAGGCCCTGCCTGCCTAACCTACTTCTACACCAAGGGGGAGTGGATGAGCCGAAAGGAAGGTTTACTTGGTTTTGCAGTAGGCCACCACACACATGATGCCGACCACCAGCAGGGCGATACAGATGCCGGTGATAGTCAACACTCTCTTCTGGTAGAGTTCCTCCGCTTCTGGAAAGGGGTGAGAGCACATGTCACCAAGGTGATTTACCATCACCAGGATTTACAACAACTGAACAGCTGGCATGCTTAATGACATTACCTATGTCCCCCAGACAATGAACATTGACAATTCTTTAGGTTTACATACATTTCTAAGGGACAACGTATTCTATGCTGTACTCTGAGCATAAATAATAAGCTAGCTAGGGCCATTGAAAGTAAAAATGTTATATTTTATGATTTGTCTAATTTCAAGCTATAATTATATATATATGATATTAAACTGGAAAATCATAGACATTAATTACAAAAGAATTTATTAAACCTTTATCAATGTTATTATTTTTATTAAATATCTTACAAAACATCTCTTGTAAAGACAACAGGAATCAATATTGATAAAGAGAGCTAAGACGGGCATCAGGGAGATGGTCCATTTTTCCTTCCTCTATTGACCACCCTCCATGCCAATTCTCTTTCCACTTCCCTCATGTTTTAGGTCATCATTTCACATCCAGTGGTCTTTACAGAGAGACATTTCTACAGTGAACAAAATTTAATTCCAAGGTATTTGCAAACATGAACTTGGCTTGTAGTTAGTAAGTTAAGGCAACAATCCCACGATGTAGAGTAAATGAAGCAGAAGAAACAGTACACCATGGGGAATCAGGACTCGGGCCAGATAAAACCCAAACTGATGGGTAGGGCACTCTTGGGCCACAGGAAAGGTTTGCTCTCTGGAGGAAAATGGTTATAAATTTCTTAGCTGAAGTTAGAAACCCAATTTGGATTCAGAAGTCCATCATTAACACAAATGATGTGTACTTTGGACTAGATTGCACATCCCCACATCAGACAATTCTAAGGCAACAGTGGTGCTCTCAAGAGATCTGAACTCAAGGTACCATTCTACTCCAGATGCAGTCAGTCTGTAATTTGTTGAAACTTTTCTAGGTGAAAATCAGGGCCTTTGGAGGATGACTTGGTTTTGTACAAAGGTGATTCAGGGTGTTAACAAAATTTGTAGACTTACTGGAGATACTGGCTGCTTAACAGCCAAGCTTCCAATAATCTAATTATTTTTATTGGAAGATCTTGACACATTAACCCAGCACGCATTATAAATGGTTTGTCTGCCATTAAAATTAATAAGCTGGGCCAGAACTGGAGAACACGGCACAAATAGAATGGTCTTATCTGGGTATCCACAAGGAAGGCACAAAGATTATTTCCATCATAGAATGGTCTTATCTGGGTATCAACAAGAAAGCCACAAAGATTATTTCCATCATAGGTTTTTTTTTTTTTTTTTTTTTTCAGTCTCAGAAGCTATACCTTTCTCTGCATCGAGAAAGAGCAGGCCACAGGAAGTTTTCTTTAAAAATGAATGAGTGAATTTAAATTTCTATCCAATTAGTGGATCTTATCATAAAAGAAAACGTTTCCTACAAGCCGAGTCCATGATAATCAAGTCCCAGTTAACAGGTCAAGAACATTGTCAAATCAAATTAATAGAGTTCTGATTATTAAGAGAACTGAAGTGAGTGAGCAAAAGACGACAATACTGAAGAGATTATACAAAAACAAACAGAAAGGGTTGGAGGTGGAGAGGAAAAACAAATCAAGAGGACAGACAGACTGAAAGAATGACAGAGAGCAAGAAAGTCCAGTATAAGGGAAAAACAAGGTTAAAAGTTAGGGAGCCATCTGGAGTCCCTGGCACAGCATGCCTGATATTAAGGGAGAAAAAATAAATAAAGAAATGAAAACCAGACAGAGGAGATGCTTGGGGGAAGGGGGAGGAAAAGGTGGGTACAGAGTGGGAAGGGGTGTCCCATACAGCATAACTCCTAAACTGGGCTGGCCGTGACATGGAAGCCATGATTAAAAAGCGAAGCAGCTGGTGCATTGCGGTGCCAAAGTATGCAGGAGACATACAGGTGGTGTCGTGACGCTAAAGTGTTGGTGTGTGCACTGTAGGGGTCTAACAATGACATGACGGGAGGGCTTATGTGTTAACTCCCCCTATCTGTTACCCCCAGACAAAGGCAAAGGATTGGCTTTTATGAGGTGTTCTCTGTAGCCTCCCTCCCTGGCATCCACAGTTTTTAGAGTGTCTGTCTAAGAAGCATAATCTCGTTCCATTGCTCTTCCTTCACACAGCATAAGCTTGTTAGGAAATGGAGCACTAATGTTGGCATCAAGAAATGGCAAGTCCTACATCCTATGTTTTGTCTAATGTACTTTTTTTTTTTTTTTTTTTTTTTTTAAAGCTGGTGAGCTTTGGAAAGGGTACAGAGGTAGGACACTTGCCTGGAACATGGGAGATCCTGGGTTTGGTTTCACAAATGGGTGAGGAGCGAAGGAAGGGTAAAAACCAAGCCTTTGGTTGCTGCTTTTCAATGACTCCCTATACTTTGAAACAGCTAGGAAAATGGTTTCTGCAAACTTCAAAAATATGGGAACATACAGAAGGACTAAAATGATCATTGGGGGTATCATGGGTTGCCCCCCAAAACTCTCAGGGATCCCTACAACAAGTTCTCTTTCAGTTGTTGTTGACTAGGAAAGAACAAACTGAGTTGGGTATGTGACTGGCTAGCATCTGGCCATTGGCCTATTCTTATGGCTCGTCAGTAAAACAATTATGTCAGGGGCTAAAGTGTTCAGCAAAGGACAATGGGGCTAAAGGGAGTTAACCAAAGGCAGGGAACACAAACAGGATTAAGTCCTGTGCTCACATTAGTACTGACTACAAGAAAAATTTCTCACCTAAACTTTTAGATTTTCTTTTCATGATTTTTGTCACATCAGATTATCTCCACAATATGAATGTTAAAAGAAAAAAAAACTAGTCTTTGACAAACAGCATGTTCCCTTAGCCTATTGCTCTTCTCATGTATTTTTTTTTTAATTTTAAATTTTTGCTTGACAGTATCCACAGGGCAAGAGCAAATCAGAGCTAGTACTAAAAATCAGTCCAAAGGTCTGGTCTGTCTCCATGAGTGGATGTGCTCCAAGTCTCGCTGGTTTGGCTGTATGGACTGGAGTGCAGTGACTCACAGCGAGACATTTTCATTCTGCTGCATCCAGGAGAAAAGACAGAGTCACTTGCTCTTGCTCTCTTGTTTTGCAATGACCCTTAAGGTCAGGTGTTGTTTCAGGATATAACGACTGGTCTCTCCTCTACAAAGCCTTTGAGAGGTGCGGATGGCAGCATGCTGCCCTTTTGAACCAGGAAAACAGCTGAGGGAGCACTTACCCAGCATAACTATCTGACTCCACTATCTAGAAATAGAAATAGTAGAAAAAGGTAATTCTGAGGGTTTGGCCATTGGTTTCCCCTTAGTGCTATGAGATTTCTGGCACAGGGAGTCTTCCTTTGAGGAAGGCAGAACCCTCAAGAGTGATGTGTAGATCCTCTTTGTGATTCCAAAACTTAGGAGGTTTTTGTTTTTCTTTTTAAAGCCAAGAAGCCCATTCATTTAAATTTGGCCTTTTTTTTTTCAACCTACAAGATGACTAGCTATCTTCTTTTTATTTTCTTGAAGGAGTGACAATTAAGCTCCTCTCCCTGTCCCTGCCAGGACTGGCTACTGCTTCATGCATCACCAGTGATGTTTCTGAGTAGATGATGTTCTCAGCCAAAAGGAGATTACAGCCTTGGGATGCTCTTGCTACACCAAGGGTGAGCTGCAAAGGGAGTGCACAGTTTGCTCATCTTATGGTGCTTTCGACCCAAGACCCAGTTGGGTTCTTTCAGACTGCTCTCACAAAGAGACTGGACTTTTTGCCCATTTTTGGTTTTGTTTTGTTTTTTGTTTTTTGGATGATGGGTCTTATGGACTATGCCTACATTTCATCTGCCTTTGGGAGCTTTGTTGTTCTGATATTTACAGGTAAGCTTTTCTACGTGATGACTCCTCTCAGTAATCTTAATCTTAATGCTTCTAATTTAATTCTATCAGCCCTGGAATGTTCACCTAGACAAACATCCTTTGTTTTCTATTTAAGCAAATGAAGTTGACTAGAGTCGTCCTTGAGTATCTCCAAGAAATCTGAGTGCTTCAGCACATAGAATACTACCTCAGTGTAAGACACTTAAATTCTATGATATTGAATAGAAGAATTTTATGTTATATGTAAACCCCCATCGGGCTATCTTTTACGTGGATGTACTTTATTTTTTCCCCTCTGACCTTTGGTTTGATTTCTCCTGTAGCCTATGCACCACTCCAATTTACCCCAGCTTTTAAGTACCAGCATGGTCCAATCAATGGGTCACACAATGTGAGGTCTACGATAAGGTGCAGCAGGAGAGACCTCTAGTCTAAGTAAAGGGAGGCCTGGAAATTTAAATCCTGCTGCACCCCAATAACATTTCCATAAACTAATCGTAGATGGAAAGCAGAGAAACCAGTGTTATAGCTGTATGATCCCTTCTAAAGAAAAAGGAAATTAGTTAGGAACTGAAAAGCAAGAAGAGGAAGGGCAACAGAGTTCAGCTCAGAAGCTCTACATTCTGCAGGCTAAAAGGAATGATGATTGGTCCATACCCATAAATTCAATCCCAAGATGCTCTGCCAATGCAGAAAGTTGACAAAAAAAAAAAAAGAAAAAAGAAAGGAGAAAAGTTTCAGAAAAGAGCAATACACCGCACTCCAAAACAAATTAAACACGACCACAACAGCTCTGTGCGTGCACACTGAACAGGGCAGGCGGTGAGGGTTACGGAAGCATGCTCAGGCACGCGCAACCCCATCGGCGAGCGGGGAGAGCACAGGGTCTTTAGTAACCTTCCAAAGCTTCTACCAAGGGAGGTTAGGAGCTGAAACCATGCTTGACTCGTCATTCGAGAACAGACGTATTTTATAACCAGCAAAAGCATTTGCAATAAGTTGATTTGTTTGTAGAAGATGTTCTAAGGAGTTTTTTGGTTTTGTTTTGTTGAACTACATGCATCCAGTGGCCGAGACAGGAGTACGTGTCAAGATGACAGTAATTTAGTTTGAAATTTGTATCACACTGGATTTGCTTTTCCTTGCTGGTGGGTAGCAATACTTTAGTATTACTTTTTAAAGTTGTACCACTGACACTTAACTTTCCAGTTCCTTCACTACATACACCAGCCATTTCATTCTAGGAAAGCAACAAAAGCTTCTACCCAAAAACATGACCAAGGGAAGCCAGGTTATTGATGACTGTTTTCAGTTTTTCTTATAATTTCTCTGTAGGATTGGGCAACTTGAAACCTTGCCATTTTCAAGTTGAAAAGAAAAAGATTTTTTTCCCCCTAGGTGTGTTATATAGAGATTCAGTTTCTGGGGTCTTTACTGCTTTTTCAAACTCTTAGAGGTAATTAGGTCAGCACTCCACAATGCTGAGCTCCGGTGAGCATAGGTGCCAAGAGAAGCACAGCACCACCCAGGGAAGTGTGAGCCGATGCCCAGCATTTCCGCAACTCTGTACAAAGCCTGAGCAGACAAATATGGGCAACGATGGGAGGAGGATGAGGCAAGAGAAAAAAAAATCTCCAGGAAGGATTCTTTGACTTCTTGCAACCAAAGTTAACAGTCAAGTTTCATCAAGCATGTAGGCCTTCTCTCTCAGTGAGCACCATGTGATTGGGTAAAAGGTGAGTGGGAGGCAGGGATCAGAAGCAGGCATCTGTAGTCCCTTCTCTCAGTGGATTAGGGAGAAATCGGGGGCACTCTACTGATATAATAAAGCAGCTCTCTTGCAGTATAAGCTGCAGGGATGTGGCTTTTACAAAACCATCAGTCAGGACACGGAGAGAGCAGCCCTTAAAGACACAAGACAAGTGGAAGGGTTGATCGTGGTTCTGATCCTGTCTCTCCCACTCACCTGCTTAGTAACTTTGGTCAGGCTTATTGCTTACTGAACAAATTCATGGTAAGGCATGCTCATTGGTGAGCCTATGGAACGAACTATGGTCTGCAAGAGCAGAGGGCTCAGGATTCTGGGAAAAAGACACGTCTAGAGATGCATCATGGGACAAACAGTGCAGTATATTCATGGTTACTCTGAGTAATTTTATGCAGGGAATCACTGACTACTCCTAGGATCTATCAGAAAAAGAAAATAGATGAAGATTTTTGCAGCCACTTCAAGAAATGATGATCCCTACATCAAAAATATATCTTGGAAATGGGAGGCATGATCTACAATGACTTCTGATGTGGGTCTGGTGTACACCCACACGTAGTCTGAATTTTTCCTAAATTAAGAACCAGAAGCCTTAGGGTTAATTCCGTTGTACAAGTAATTCATAATGAAATAATCTATTCAAATACAAATGAATTTCTCTTGCCTCTTTGCAATTCGTCAGACTGACAGTTTTCCCATTTGCTTTTTCATTTAAACTTTGGAACATCAATGTGAAAAAAAATTGGTTTCTAAGGAAATTGATAATAAACTTCCTTCCTCATTCCTTTCACGAGGCTATGATCCAATTTCCTTCCTAGAAGCTTCTGTGTCTCTTTCTTTTTCCTCCTATAAGTCACTCATAATTTAAGGGTTAAAATCAAGACATATCTATAAAAAAGATCCTTTCCAAAGAACTACTCCATTCCTATGTGAACGCTTCTAATGATTTGTATTAGTTGCATAGAAAGCTTGGTTAAGTCTTCAATAAAATTAGTAGCATGCCCGTGCATACATATGACTGCATTTACAGTTTTATAGGTAAGCCTGTGAGCCTAACTATAATTCCATTTCAAGGGAAGTCATTCATATCAGGCAGCTCCAATTTTAAATAATTCAAGGGGAAATTGGTACTTAAAATGGGAATCTCTTTTGGCTGCGAGCCCTAACAAGGAAACAAGCAGAGGATGCATGCATCAGTCATTCTAGACTCAGAACAACGATGCTCTCATTTATCTTTAGATCTCTTTCACTTTACAGCCAACTAAAGAAGCGGAATGCACAAACTTTCCATTAGGCAAAGAAATTCTTTCTATCTGCTCTACTTAATCTAATGCTGGTGCTAGCTCATTGTGCGCCACATGGTTCCACTGAACTTCTGGCGAGCCACTACATTCTTCAAATTCAATTAATAATTCACAAACATGAAGGTTATTGTAAACAATTGAGTTTCCTTTTCTACATGTGACTTCCTGCCAGGACCATGGCAATATAAAAAATTAATTTAAATCTAAAGTCTCCCGAAACTATTAAATATTGACTCACTAATCCTTTGTGTTAGGCTTTTATAATTACTTGACGAAAACTGATTAACCTGGAGGTTAATTTAAATTTTCAACTGCATCAGAGAGAAGAACAGTAAAATACCTTTCTTTCATCAAAATTATACAGCCATTGCAATTATGGTTTCTGTTCAGATTTCACACATTCAGGATGCTATTTTTAACATCTTTGGACTTGTTTATGCAAGTAATCTCAAAGACATGCAGTCTTGATTTTCTGTATCTCTGGAGTTTTCCTAAAATATTCTAATGCCTCTTCTAAATGGGATGAATTTGGTGTCTTGACTCTAATTTCAGACTTACCTTTACAAGTGTAGATGCTGTTTTTCACAATCTGCATTGTTACTGAACCCTTTGAAATGTAATAGACTTTTGCCCTATTCCCCAGTTTTCATGTGCAGAAGAGCACACACGCACACACACGCACACGCACACACACACACACAGCAAATTTCACACTCATTTGAAATTTATGACAATTCTGTCATCTGTGGAGTACTCTTTATTCTACTGTTATCAAGATACATGTTATACATGTTTGATTATACATTATCTTTAACAGCCTCTTTAAAACATTTAGAAATCAATGAAATAATGTATATGCTAATAACCAATGGCTCAAAAGTACTTTTAAGGCTGAGAAGTCTACTCATTTTGAGAATGTGCCTCAAGTTCTAAATGTCCACTTCAAAGTCATCTATAATGTGAGCCGTTCTATATTTAGTTCCTATGGCTTGCCAGCTTCTCCAGGACACTCTTGCCCAATGCTACCTCCAGGTACTGGAGCTCTGAATGTATTTTCTCTTTCCTCCTCAAAGTCTACACATTGTGTGTGGGCTCCCTACACACTTGCCACCAAATGCTAGGGATCACAGTATCACAACTAGGGGTTAACTAGGAACTGAACTGTAATAAGTCAGATTTAAGGCTAAAGTGGATGATACTTTCTTAAGAAGTATTCTATGTTATATTTCAAGACAAATGGCTGCTGTAAATTGTACCCCTTTCTTTCCTAATTTAAATCAGCATTTGTGGATCAATCAATAATCTTAATAATATAAATTACGTCTTAAACATGTTGAAGAATTGTATTCTCGTTGCAATGTTATTCTTCAACTGAGAATATGGTTTGGCAGGCTGTAACCTTTGTTTGAGGCAGGATTCTTCTTTTTAAAGATCATGTCATGTTCTCTAAGACAGTGTGTCTGTAAACAATCACCTTTTCAAGTGACCTCTGTGGGAATATCTTCGAGATTCTCTGTCAGCATCCACTGTTACTTGAACACGGAGTAACAAAACTCACTCCCCTGTCTGGCTATCTACCGGGGAAGATACAAACTGAGAACTTTAGAGGCAGACATTAGAAAATGAACTCTGGACAAGATAATTCGGAGAAAAAGTGGTGTCTGATTGGAAACGCTTGCTTCTCCAGACATGTGGTATCAATAATACAGCCATTACGTGCTGGCCTCATGACTGAGCTTCCTATCAATCCTTGTTAAATCAAGTTAAACATGAATGCTAATTTCCTGCGTGCCTTCCCGAAGTGTCACTGAAAGCTTACTAAAAATTTCATTTTAGGAGCCTCATCCTGGACCTCAGACAGAGTGGCTAATTTAAATAATGTCTAATAAAAGAGAAGACGGTGAAAAAGTGAATGAGCACATATTTGGTGATTACCAATGGCAGAGTTAACAGAATTATTGTTCTGTGAAATATTTGCATTTTTAATGCTTGCCATTATCTAGGAAGACAACCTTCCACAACACATCTCTAGTGGCTAAGAATATATAAGACATATATAAGAATAGCTTACGTCTTTCCATTAAATTCTAACAAGTAGATTTATACCTATACTGTCATGTGGGCTTGCTAAATCTATGCTATTTTAATACAACCAAACCATTCAAAAACTGTATTTTATTTAAATAAAATTCTACTTTCCCTTCTATTTTTACTTTCTATTCTATCTACTTAAAAATACCTATTGCTACTGAGAGAAAATTCATGTCTGATAAATGCTGTTATTTAAATATTTGTTAATAGAGTGAATATATTTCAAAATTTAACAATACCAACTTGCCAGTTTTTACAAGGGAAAATTATAGCTTATGGCATAATCTTTGATAACAGTCTATGGAAGTACTTAAACTTTATTTCACTAAAAACATGGCTATTATTTTAATAGCATCTATGACTTTTAATTTTTTCTTTTTTTGAGACATGGTTTCACTGTGTAGCTCTGGCTGGCCTCTAATTCAAGAGAGATCAACCTGCCTCTGCTCCCTCAGCACTGATATCTGTGACGATTAACAGAAATTTATTCTTCTCATGAATCAGAACCAAGGCTAAATCTCTGATTCTTTGGATACCTAAATGACCGGCTTGTGTGGTTATTTTCAATGTTTTAAGAATTTAAACTGTAGTGAGTTATGTAAAATACTCTTGATGATTACTAATTGATAGAGTTGACAAAAGCAGCCTTGTGCTGATAGTTGTAAGTAAAGAATTAATGGAACACAGGCAGGCCCATCAGTTTGTTTATTGGCTACGATTGTCTTCACGCTACGAGGCGGGAGACTGGGGCCTCATCATGACATGACACCATCACCACAAACCTTAAAATACTTGTTATCTGAAGCTTCATAGGAAAACCTTACCAATTCACGATTTACATGACTAAGTGGGATATAGGCAATGCAATGTTCTAAAGGTTTCAGAGGCCGAGAGATACCACCCCAGTTCACGAGTTACTCGGAGATTATCTACAATGTGGACTGAGTAGTTTAGCAATGATGTTTAAAACATCATGACCTCACAGACATCTACTAAACTTGCCAGCTCAGCATTAAACACTTTTATATTTCTTCTAGATTTGTTATTTTATTTTGAAGTAATAGCATTCAAAACTGTAATAGCTCCTTTCTAAGATCACCCTTTAAGCAGCATAAATACTCAGATTAAGAAACACTAGGATGATGGTGATTATCTAAACTCATTCTGAATTACTTACTTCCCAAGAAACATAACTATGAGCCTGGATATTGCCTTGGCTGGGAAATATTTGTTTTTAAGTTTTTCTACTTAGTAGTGTTTTGCTTTTTTTTTTTGTCCTTTTGCCTGGATGTGAACTTTGCTTAATGAAGAAAAACATCTGAACTCTTTTTGTGATGTTTATTTGATATGAATAACACACTCTGAGCCCAAATCAACTTACCATCATATCAAGGGTATGGTGGTTACAACCTATCACCGGCCTCTGCAGACCGTGGATGTTGGATACAGAAGATGGACTGCTTGGTGCAATGATTTTATTTTATCAATACAAGTCCAAGTCTGAAACGTCTTTATTATTACTTCACTCCTTCATGTGGACTATCCACATGATGTATGATCCATCTCAGAAATATCCGGAGCCTCACACACCTATTAGCAACTCAGAGCCGACTAGTCACAAACAGAGGAGGCAACACAATGGCTTTGTTAATGTTCACATGCGACAGGCAGAGGCAGTCAATATTAGACCTGGTAGAACACGCTAGCTCTAGGTGACTCTGAGGGGAGATGTAGCAACAAGAAAGCAGCACCGACTGAGCATGCTCCTATTCAGGCAGAGACAGAAAGGGAGTGGACGTACTGTAGAAGCTGGCCATTACGTAGTTTTGGCAACGATCACCAGTAAACTCATTTGGGCACCTGAGAGAAGAAACAAAAAAACAATGGTAGAAAAAAAAACAGAGAAAAAGAGAAGAGGTGAATATACGCTAGAGAAGGTCCTTGAGTGTCATTGATTGATCTTGGTGAGTTCACCCTCAGGAACTGAATCCTTGTCCTGATCATGGCTTTTATACTCTGGCATCTCCCTAGTGCTTCAAAATTTGGACAAAAAAAAAAATTCAGTTTGCAGCCATTTATGGCAGTAAGATTCCAGGATTTCTAGGTGACTGCTTTCTTTCCAAAGAAGTCACCAGACGAATTGATGGTTTAGCCATCTAGTTGGAGAAATAGGTAGAAAATGATTTGGAGTAGGATCACTGCTGACTCCCAGAATCATGGCCTCTCTGATCAGTCATTCCTTCACATTTTAACTTTGGGACCTGAGTGAATGACAGGCAACTGAGACCACAGTGGACAGGTTCATGCCCTGAGTGGAGACACCATAATTAGAACAATAGGAATCAGTTACAACTGAGCCGTAAAAGCACCAAGTGGTTGCGATTGTTGCTGTGGTTTGGTGGAGAAAGCAGATTTCAGATTATTTGAACATACTTTCTTGGGTTTGGACTTTCATGGGCACATTCTCAGTACATCTTGCTCCAGTGAATCCAGGTTGGCACCTAGAGGGCAAAAACGTGATAAGCAATCGAACGCTCAAGACACTGAACTTTCAGCCTGGTAACCTTCCTCCCATGGCATATGGAGTCCTAAAAATGACCCGGTGCTGAACAACACAGAGAGGGAAAGACACGCCACTCAGAAAGTCACTCCCAAGAAACTGCGGCTTACTCAGTGTGCTGTTTGCTTCAGTCATCAGAGGACTAGTTACTGGAATTTAGCTAGAGAGAGGCTGCCAGCTGAACAGAGTGGCAAGGCAGGGGTTGCTCTCATGCTGCCTTGCCCAGAGTGCTGATCTCGCCGTGTTAAAACACTAGTGTTGACACGAACTTTTGTGGTTCTACTTATGTCTTTTGTTATCAAAAGACCAACCTGTAATTTTATTGTGTGTGCCTGAGATTTCTACTCATTTCATATCTGTTTTCTGAACTGTAAGTTGAAGTATTTAAGCAAAATAAGTCAAATACTGTTATTCTCCAGTGGTTAGTGATGAGAGAATGACAATCCCTATTCCCCCCTCCAAGAGTTAATGAATTCAGTTTTATTTTTAATACTATTGAAAGAAACAGAATGGAATTTTCTTGGTACAATTTCATTCATTTAGTTACCTTCAATAAAAGAAAAATACATTCTTGAAATTAAAAGTTATTTTTATACAGAAGCACACCATATGATGTGCCACTTCTATATTTATGGCCAAATAGTCTGAACTTAATGTAAAGAGTTGTATTTTATTTATTCATCTCAATTTATTTGTCAAAATACAAGACTCGATATAACTTTTGTTCTTAAGATTATACAACAGGGCCATTCTTAGACATTATACCCTTTACTGTTCCATCTTGCTTTAATATAGTATCTAAACCCCATAGATTGGGTTTGATGGACCCAGTATCATGACGTAATAAGTAGGTATTTAAGAGTTCTAAAAAGCAAATATACTTTTTTATATATTTATTTATTTATTAAAGATTTCTGCCTCCTCCCTGCCACCGCCTCCCATTTCCCTCCCCCTCCCCCCGATCAAGTCCCCCTCCCTCATCAGCCCGAAGAGCAATCAGGGTTCCCTGACCTGTGGGAAGTCCAAGGACCACCCACCTCCATCCAGGTCTAGTAAGGTGAGCATCCAAACTGCCTAGGCTAAAAGCAAATATACTTAGAGGTAAAAGTTTATAATTGATTGCCAAGCACACACATCCACATAGTTCATCGTAGCTGTCTCAAAACTGCAGCCAAATAGCCTAATTTGCTCTGCTAGTATTTATTGACTTAGAGATTTTTATATAAGTCTCTCGTCTCTAGAGTAAATAAGGCTGAACATTGTCATTTTGATATTAACTGTTAATAAATCGACTACTTCTGCTAACATAAGAGTGATTTCTTTAACATACAGGCTAAACTCAATAGAAAAAAAGAAATGCTATCATGTAGTTTGGTACAGGAAATTCTCTTATTGCATGAAGGTGCAAAAATACCAGCAGTACCAGAGTTCCTGCCGCACGACTACCTGCCCAGTATAACTGTGCTCATTCAGGATAACGTCAGCAGGGCCAGAGAGATAGGTCAGCAGTAAAGAGTACATGCTGGTCAAGCAAAAGACCCAAGTTCAGTTCCCAGCAGCCACATCAAGCAGCTTAACAACTACCTCTATAGTCTAGCTCCCGAGACTCTGATGTCATCTTCTGGCCTTGATGGGCACCTGCACTCCTAGGCACAGATTCCCCACTACACGTATACATAATTATAAAAATAAATCTTTAAAAAAGAATATCAATAAATATATATAATAAATATATCAAGATGGTTCCAGTGAAGTCTCTAGAATACTTGAATAAAATGATTATTTTTGCTGATAATCCTTTGCTGAAGGGAGAAAGATCTACCTAGAACAAAATATAAGAACTGACCTATAAAGTAGGGGCTGTTTCTATAAAGAAATTCATATTTTCAATACAAATGCCTCGATGGATTTTTTTTAAAAACACTCCATGTAGCTTTTTTGACCAAATTATTTCTGAAAAGATCCTATAGGACATTTCTATACTTAATTCTAGAATTATAGATACATCCCAGAGTAACCATTTCATTCTACCTGTTTGCTTTCTTGATAAAATTTAAAATTCTTATATTGAGCACACCATTTATTTTCTATGTTATATGGCAAATAAGAATTCTGTGTATGTGTGTATGAGATTATGTGTGTGTGTGAGAGAGACAGAGGCAGAGACAGACATACAGACAGATGGGGGTTGGAGAAGAAAGACCCATCTAACATAAGAACTGATATTACTGCTCATATTTAAAGATTATGTCATGAAGAAATAGCTAAGGAATCAAGAGTTTCTTAAGAGAAGGGCATTTATTGGGAAATTACAATTTAGGCATCTTACGTGCCAGGCCCGTGACTAAAGAGTATGTGGCTAGTATACAAATGGGGTAAAAATAATCTTCCCTACCCACTTTCTAATTACTGTGAACTCTGTGTGCATCCTGAGAGAGTAGTACTGTCAGATGCTGCTTTATCTCTGCTATGTGGTCATAAAGAGTAGTAGGTTCAGTAACACATCACATAGTGAATGACCTTTGTTCTAGATACAGCTATTCTTAGTGGCGTTTTTCTCTATGTGCATTTGGTCTTCCAATCTAACACTGGCTGACTCCACCTCTTCCGCCTATGAAGGACTCCTTCCCTGCATCGTTCACTGTGCCTTGTCCCATGCCTGGTCCAGACCAATTTAACTGGGCTTACTGTGCTGTGATGGATGGGAACGGTGCTCATTGCAAATCACCCTGTATCTCCACAGCCTGACCCAGAGCCTGCATGCTGTCTCATTTTAACTGCGGCTTTCCACAGAGAACGGTAGATCAAAAACCTCCACAAGGAAACAGATGTGTCAAAACAAGTCAATCTTGACATGTACTTTCTGTCTTTAGAGTTTACAAAAGAATTTCCTCTGTGGACTTCCAAAAAAGTTTTAATAGGAATTACTAGTACCTGGGGATTTTTCTTCCCCATGTAAAAACCTTTAACACTATGCTTGCCCCATTGAAGAGAAAGGGCTACGATTATTGAAGAGAATACCTATTACCTAATTAAATTTTGTCATTTAAACACCAGTTTACCTAAGACTCAATAAAACCAGAACTGTGTTCTAACCAAGGTTTTTATCTGACAGCAGTAACAAAAATACTAGAATTTTTCAAAACTACATTAGTATAAAAATGGCATATAATACTATGTATTCTTAATTTTGCATAGAGCCTGATGAAATAATTTCATTTTTAAGTCTGTGTTAAGATAAATTCGAAATTAAAGAATGCTCAAAATTGCTGTAGCCAGAGTTCAGGCTTGCCCTTACATGTGAGGTCCAAAGCTTTACTTTGCCTCTAAGGTACATGACTTTTCTTTCAGCCAATAAGCAATTGCTAATGCTTTTCTATAATTTTTCAAGCCAGGCAATTTAATATTGCCAAAATAATATTGGCAATTATAACTTATCATTTATTAAAACTAACAAACATAGCTGGATCCTCATTTAAACAAACATTTTAATAATGACAACACTTAATGGATGACCTGATGCATTTCCTAGTGATTCAATCATGGGTGCATGTGTTTTGAGAATCAGTGTGTGGATACTCTAGACATATTCAAAGATATTTACAAATCCCCAAGAAAGATCTGGTTCTATAGGGTTTGCCAATTTTATAGACAACTTATTAATTACAGTCAACTTATAAACTGTCTTTAGACATCTTCCTTCCTTTGTTTCCTGGTTTCATCCCTGTCCCTCGAGAACACTAGAAGGAAGAAGCTGACAGCCAGTGTGTTCTCTTTAGTCATCGCTCCGTGCTCAAAACATTTGGCCAGTTTTAAAAATCCCCTGCTCGAAAGAATATCACCTCTTTCTGCTTGTCTTCAGTACTAACTGTGCCATTTCCCTGCCGCCTTAAAACACCTGAATTTATGTACTTGGGGTTGATATTTACAGATGCCAACATACTCATTCTGGGGAATACTGGCCAGTCTGTGTGCCAGGTCACAGCCTCCCGCTGTCACTCTGGAAACCTGCGTTGCCCTTGGATTCAGCTCTCAGACTGCTCGGCTGACTGTCTCCAGGATCACATTGCAAACACAGACTTTTCTCACCCCGTAGCTGGCGTGGTATTCTGGCCAGCGCTCGCCTACTCACCGGCTAAGTATCTGCATTGTAGATTATTTTTTTTCCCAAACGTATTGTTACTATTAGTCTGCATGTTTCTGAGATGAATCTTATTCTGTTATCAGCCTTTAAGTGAAATTACTTGAGGCTTATATATGTTTTTCTAATTTGTGTTTCAGTGGTCTTTGCAGTGTCATC